TTCCCTGTAAAACATTTTCTTTCCACCCATTTTCTACCCTTGCAATCAAACGCACCCTTAGAATATTAATTTTTTTGAAGAATGTGTGATTAAAAAGAAAAAAATAATTTTTAGATTCCGTGTAATACTATTTTATTGAAAAATGTGTGATTGATAAAGAGAGAAATAAATTATAACTTCAATGGGGCCAAATTGGGGCATGGTTACTTCTAGTTTTTTGCTTTTTCCCTCCGACTTTTTTTATTTTAAGGTAATTGAATATATTAAGTGATTTCAAACAAAATATTTTTTACTTCTATGATATTAGAGATTTGAAAATTTCATGGCATGACTACGTAGTCTTTGCTAATATATATTTTTTCCAATAACTATTAGAAATATGAAATACAATTATTATTATTTATTTTTGTGAGAACTAATTGGATATCTTGAGAGATTTGTGTGCCGGCCAAAAAATTATGTACTTCTATTTCATTATAAAATTTGATTACAAATAAATATAAAATTACAAGGATTTTAAACTTTCTTGAAATGCAGAAAAATAAACTCTATTTTTCGTTCTGTCTAAAACCTTAGAAATAGCTAAAGTTTCAGACTTGAAATTACATTGAATTGAAAAATTAAGAATCTTGAAAAATTGATTGACAAAAGTTGTCAGCCAATTGACGTCCTTTGAAATCTTTCTTTTGAAGGAAAATGCTAGATGTACCGAATGGGGGGGAGGGGGGGGGGGTACCGAATGGTGTACACCCCTCACAATGTGTGCGGGGCCCGTGTGTGTTTAAAAATGGCGGCTCGTGGTCCCCACCTCCTAATGTGAGTAGGGTGTAAAAGATTATGTAAAGAAATTACGTACATGTAGCATAACTCTCTTTTGAAATGTCTGCCACTTATTGTCCTTGAAGTCTTCTTTTTGAATTTTTATTTTTGTGAGAACTAATTGGATATCTCGAGAGATTTGTGTGCTGACCAAAAAATTATGTACTTCTATTTCATTAAAGATTTTGAGAATTTCACGGTATGGCTACTTTGCCTTTGCCAGTTTTATGTTGTTAGGATCCGTGAAAAATATGAAATGTAATTTGAGGTACTGATTATTACATGTCTATCCCCTTCTTCAACTTTTTATTTCCAGAGGTAATTCATAATGGGATATATTGAGAGATTTGTGTACCCACACCAAAATATTATGTACTTTCACGATATTAAAGATCTTCAAAATTTCACGATATGGCTACTCAGTCTTTGCTAATATTTATGTTTCCAGGATTTAGGAGAAATAAAAAAACAATTAATCCTCAAGTAAACGATTCATTTCACGGGAGATTACCAGATTGCTTACACGGTGGCCCCACCATGTATTAGAAAAAAAAAAAAAGTTGTACGAGACCCACAAATGTGTGACCGTCCCGTGAGTTTTCCCGTGAAATCTTTTGTCTACGTAAAACATCTCCCAATAAGAAATGCAATTTGACGTATTGAAAAGGCCAAGGGTTTTGCTAGGGACCCTTTCACTCCAGTGGCCGCACGTGGTAGCAAAGCCCTTGTCCAAAACTCCATGGTCGCACGTGCGTAGAATAACAAAAAACACGCGTGCTTCAGAAATCAACTCCCCGCCAAATCCGAGATTTTTCTTACTTCCCTAAATTCCCTTGTAATCGTTACTCTGTAGCATAGGAAAAGGAAAAGGAAATAGGAAAAAATCTTGATCTGGCAAAGGAATCGAGCAATTCAGAAATGTGGGAGAGTGAAAATGAGAGGGAAATTGAAGTCCGTAGCTTGAATGGGGAATCAATAACAGTATCAATTGAACCAAACAAGACTATTCAGGACCTTAAGACCATCCTCAAGCAACAATTCCATCCGGCCGCCTCGTCCCCGAATTTCCATCTATTCCTCAAGGTAATTTCATTTCCCTCCTTTTTTAAATGTGTCCGTGTATGTTTTCTATGTAATATGTGTTGGGATGCACATGGTACAAGATTTATCACCAGTGCATGATGCTTCAAAGGTTGTACCTAGCTCTAGAAACTTGCGTGTTAATGTTTATGTAAACAACAATGTAGAACCAGTGATGCACATGGTACAAAATTGATCACCAGTACATGATACTTTAATGGTTGTATCTCGACCTGGGAACCATTATCTACATTTGTACCTCTGAAATGACTGGTAGGATTGTGCCACCTGTGGTGGTTTTCTTTTAATTTTTCTTGGTCCAGGGTGTGAAACTGAAGTTGCAGAGTGAGATTAGTAGCTATGCTGTGGGCCTTGGAGAATTTTTAGTTCTCTTTCCATTTACAAAGAAGGATAAGCAACAGACTGAGAGAATGGAGGAATCTGAAGGACCATCAAAAGAACCGAACCCCAGTGAGAGCTCTGTAAATAACTTGGCCGAGTCAGCATGGTCGGAAATGATGCAAGACCTATCGGCTTTGCATGACGTTTCTAGGAATGAAAATCTGCCCAATGTTGAATTGAATAGCATGAATGTCGAATACAAGGACACCCATGCTGAGAGGACAACTTCAAGAACCAAGCGCAAAAGAGTGCCGAATAGGGACAAAAAGGAAGGACATTTGGATGACCTTTTGTCGAGTATGTTACAGAAGTCTAGCAATGAGGTTCTAGATGAACAGAACTGTAAAGTATTTATTGAGGTTTTGGAGTCTTCAAGTTGTTTAAATGATCCAAGATTGGGGACTTGCGTGATGAGGGAAGCTAGTGATATACAGGACAATGAAACAGACCCTTCTACGAGCGATAGCAGTTCGTGCATCTGTCCACCATGGTTGAAGGACATAGTTATGGCCTTTACTTTTTCCAACATATATTCTGCTTGGCTTCAACTTCACCAGGAAAAGATTACCATCAGTGCTCTGCAGAGTGCATTAGACCAACTCCATAGATTTGGATTCCGGCCTGGTATTACGGAACTGGAGCATCTATCTGAACTTTGTCCTCAGGTAACAATTAGATTGGTTAATTACGTAATAATCTCATTACCTTACCTAATCTCATACACCTGATGGGTTCTCTGCCATATTTTGTTTACTAAAATTTTAAGCGTGTCTCCAAGTTGATTGTCTTAATTATATATTTTACGTAATCATCGCTGCTTTCATTTATTTCCAAGAATAAAAGATCCACATTTTATGTTACAAAACACCGTGAACACATTTTAAGACAATATAACATCTAAACACCATCTACTTTTCTTTTTGACATTGATTTCTCCCTTGCATCTGCCAAAGAGGCATGGTCGTGATGTTAAGTCAAAGTGTACTCTAGGAGTTTCGCTGAACAATTATTTTTGATATGCATGTGGCCTGCTTCTTCTTACTTTCACTTCGGGTCCAGCATGTTAATGTTATACATGATTTGGCCTGCTTCTTCTTACTTTCACTTCGGATCTCAACTTAGAATTTGTCACATTTTCTCCTCAATATTTGTCAAATATCATTTTGTCCTGTAGTCATGAGGGCTCCTATAGATACTATATAGGGAAATTCACGGAGATACATAGAAAATTCTTGGAAAATGCTAAGAGGACATACCATCAGATTTTTGGAGAAGACTAGGAATTCAAGTTAAAAACTCATAACATGATAAAATGGAAACACAAAAATTAAGTGTTTACTTGTTATGTTAATCTTTCTATAATCTGCCGTTAAACATTTACCTTGGATTGGTGGAATGGGAATTATGGGTTGATGCCCCTAGAAATGAGTTTTCTTGTATGAGCAGCTGCTGGAAAGTATTTTAATTGCTGATGGTTCGAGAATGCGTTAAGAGAAGTTTCTTAAGCTGGTTCTATATGTTCGAGAGAGATGGTCAAGATGTATATCATCTATTTTACTGAGCTCTGAGGTTGCTAGTGCAGTGTTGCATATGGCGCTGATGATCAGTGTTGGAAGCTTGAAGATCTAAGCTTTTTATTTTTAGAAATCCTTTTTGAGCACAAGGGACAAAACTTGGAAGTTGTTGCGTCATGGTTCTCTTGGATAATTTGGAAAGAACATAACTTGAGAACATTTCATGTCGAACATGGGTTTCTTGTTTCTTTTTAAGTAATCGCTATCCATTCCCACCTAAGGATGCTGTTTTTGGATGAGGCGGTTGAAGAGTTATTTTTCTTCTCTCTCTCTCTTTCATTTTCTCTCTCTTTATGAGTGTACCTTGTATATAGACATTTATCTTTGATCAACAAAATTTACTACTGTGACAGAAAGTGTTTTTGGCCGCTCAGTCAGTGTTGGCATTACGTCAAGTAAACTATGACATATCCTTTCACTTTTCTTCATTTATCCAAAATGACTCTCAGGTAGTATTATTATGAAACTCACGTAATTCAGTTGTTGTTTCCCTTCTCAGATAATACGCATTGTTAACAATGAAGCAGGAACTGCAAAATTGCGTAATTGCATCATTATCACTAAAACATTGACAGAAGAAAGTGATCACCATGAGAATCTACTTGCCAGTAATTGACTTTACGCAATTCATTAATTTATGTTCTCTAAGATTATATCTATCTATACACCCAAACTCAGAGTTCAATCTTATCTTTTTTCTGTTTGCCCTGTCTTTCTCAGAAGGTGCAAAATGCTTACCTAGATCTAAGATTTTCAATTCGATGAAGAAAAGAGAAGGCTGCTTCAAAAATACTCTCTCTGAGGCTGTCAAATCAGTAAAGGTCAATTGATGCTATCCTTGCTTCCGGATCTCCTTGAGATGTTGTGCTCTAAAGTACTAGTTTTGATTTTCAATCACGTGACTCATCTTTTGTTATTATTTCTCACTCACCTTTAACTACCAGGTGCAATTACGAGTTATGGTTGATCTTTCTATCACACTTTGGGTAGGGTGTGCATTGGAATAATTAGCCAGGGTGTATCTTGACGGGTTGTGAAGTTGAGAATTTTTCGCTTATCTCATTGAACAACCACAAGAAACAGTTTTCCAAGTAATAGACTTCCCCTTCATGTCTTCGACCAAGGATTTTGAAATTATAACTTTTCGATAAAATAGAGAAAAACGTAAGGCTTGTTTTGGTATAGATATAATCGGTTTAAATTAGATATAGATAGAATTGAGTGGTGGATAAGTGGGTAGTACTTGAGGGTCCTACAATATGTGTGAATAAGAAGTAAGTTTGTCCGATTATCTTTATAAATTAAATAGGTGCCAAACAAGTGCATATTGTCCGAATTCAGGTGGTGACATTGCCAATGGATGGCCATGTGGCCATTGTAGTTTGTCTTATTGTCTGTCTTCAGTAGCTTAGGATTATGAAATCAATATCAAAACCCAGAAGAAAAAGACAGACGACAAACACTAAAAAAATTATGAATTAAAAAAGAAGGTAGGAACTAGTTAACCGTTTACCTAAACTTGCCTTTGGTGAACATGCACCTGCTGCTTCAATTGTTTTATTTTTAAGTTGAGTATTATTTGGGGGACTATGTTTATTTTTTTAAGAAGACAATCTTTCATTAATAGGCACAAAGGGGTGCCAGAACCCATACGACTGTTAGTTTATGGGCACATTTGTAAATACCGAAAAAAAGTTCAATATAGATGTACAATCATTTAGGTACGTTCTTTGATTGAAAAGTAGAGTAGTCAAAACAATTAGCTTCAAGTTAGCCAATACACACCCAGGGGTGTATATTACATATATCTTGTAGGTATTCGCCAGTCTCCTTGATCAGTAAGCTTTTATAATTGCTTGATGCTTCTGTCTTTTGTGGATGTCTTTTTCTTCATCATTCTAGTTTTGAATGTTTGACGTAGATGTTACATGGTTTTGGAGGTCTAAGTCCTTTAAGACGTCTGAAACTTTGACATCTTCAATTTGCTGCTTTTAGTCTACATATCTCAGGTCCATTTGGATATTTCATCTTGTTCTTCTACCTCCAATCTTTAGGCTCTGGGGGATTGTTTGATACATCTACATCTGCTTCATTTTCTACCTCAGAAGCCTGCCTTTACTTCTTTACTTGAGATATGTACTCCTCTTTATATTTAGGACATTGATCTTGACCTTTGTTCATCAATTTCTCCAGTAGGAAATTCTAGCATATTGTTACTTGTTGATCTTCAATGCCTTGCTCAGATGTCTTATCAGTGTTGCAAATGTCTTTTATAATTTTCAGATATTTGACATATCGAGGTCATCACGTATTTAGCAAAATTTTCCCGAATAATCAACATTTGAGATGAGAATGCCCCCTCGTCCGCAATCCATATTTTTCCAGTAGTCTCAACTCTTGGAATTTCGTAAATAGGTGGCATCAAACTTTGAACCCAAAACCTTTCTTAATGTGGTACCATATTGAATGTCCGCCTTATATAAAAGCTTGAGCTATTAAAGGAAATTATTTGTTTTTATTTATGTAATGGGCGTAGTATATTGATTTTAGAAGTGGTAGCTCTAGGTTGAATAAAGCAGTGAAAAATGTCTTTTTTTACCTGATTTTAATTTTTTAAGTTATTGGGATAGGGTTTAGATTTTCGTTATTGTTGTTTGAGCAGTTTCCCATTTAGAGTTCCAGCCCTTTTGTTTTGGAAGGGTAATTTTGCAGGTCTATTCATGCTTTATAGCCTCTTTGTTTTCAATAAATTGTATTTTATTTAGAATTCAAATTGTATTTTGTAGAAGTACTTAGTCCCTTACGGATGTACCTGTTGCTTGTCCTCATATTGAAATAAACAACTTCCCTCTCCTTTTCTGATCATGCTTAATATGAACAAATCTTCCCCTTGCATTTACTCCTTATCCATTTTTAACCGCTTGAGATGTTAACATCCATAGCTCTTTTCATTACTGACTAGATCGAATCTCGAAGTTCATTTTATGCAATGCTTCTGCAGTTTTGAACTAATGTAGAAATATGATTCTTATTTTGATGAGTTTCATTAATTGGGACAGTATTATTCTAGTTACTGAATGTTGAAGAACTTTTTCATGCAGTACAAAAATGGAAAAGAGATGGTCAAGTCCTTTTTATTAGAAGATCTTATCTTTGTGAAGAAAGGGGATACCGCTACAATTGAAACTGAAGTTAAATTAGTCAGGAGAAATTACTCTTCCACTTCAGTCATTCATTCATATGAAGCACAATGTCATGTAAGCTAAATTTTATGTTTCACAGTTATTGTGAGCAGTGATTTCTGCATAAGCACTGCATTGCAAGAGAAACAAGAAATTGGCTGTACCCAGGTTTCAAGGCTAAGTGGAAAGGCCTCAACATTACCTACGTTTTTCACCATGCCTTTTTTACTGATGTAATGGGTTTCAGTAACTGCATATAGTTCTTCATAAATCATTTTTTATCCATGTAACATCTCGTAAAATCCCTAACAATTTAATTCTAGTGTTTCAGCATATAATATAATAAATTAATTTCTAGAGCATTTTGCAGCAAGATGAGGTGCATATTTGGACACTAAAAGTTAATTATCGACTATGCTTTTGTGTGTTTGGGAGTTACAACCTTGATAAAATGGAGTGAGCTTACTTTGCATTAGAAGAAAAGGGACTATTGTACACATGCTGCGAGGGGGGTTGAACATATGCTGTTATAGATGACTTTCTGATATCAAAGTATCAAATTCTTCTTCATCAGCATAAAACTTTATTTGTTTCAAAGAGCTTTACAAGAATTTAGGAATTAATGAATAAAAATTCCGTCAAATGCAATATTGAGATAACAGTGTATGTGCAGAATGTAGACATCAGGGCTAAAGCAAGTACAGATGAGTGTTCAACATGATTCAAAGTTTGGTCATCTTTGACCAGCAAAGTTCTGTTGAACCCAAAACTGAGTGTAAATGCTCAATGACTTCCTAGTCAAATACAGTGAAATTATTCTAAAAATCAGGTTTCAGAACAATAGCTTGCACTTGAACTTGCTCGATCTCATAACAAACTCCTTGAATGAGTATTTTTTCATAATATTTCTGTAAGTTTGTTGCAACATTATATATATTTCGTCTCCAAACTCATGTGGATGTGCTAGCTCTCAGAAGTTCTCTCTTTTTTATTTATTATATCAGAAAACAATTTAAAATTATATTTTTTATTTTTCATTAGTGACTTCAAGGCTGAGATCTATTAGACACATAAAGTTCTCATGAAAATTCAGGCTATTTCATTATGTATGAATAGGTTAGTGCAATAGCCGTTTCCATCAAATATGATGGAAATGCTTCCCCTTAGAGAAGTAGTGGTTTCTAAGGCTATACGATTCCATCCCTATATGAGTCCAATTTATATTTTGTTGATATAATAGCGAGTTCTCTGGTCAAATCTTTTTGTCCACACAAACTGCACATTCATCCGGATGAACAACTTTCTTCAGCCGGATCGTCATAAATCTCCATATAAACTCATTTCAACATGACAAGTTACGAGTTCATATCGATGAATTCTTCTCTTCAGTCAGGATTTTGCAAATTTCATTTGGAAAGATATGCATAAGAATTGCTGAGCCATTTCATCCAGATAAAAATTCTAGATCATTTAGAAATATCCTAACAAAGATAACCTATTACTAAGTTCTAGAATGTACAGGCAAGATTTGCTCTTAAATAAGATACTCTGCAATTTATTTGTTTGAGAAATCATTAGCAAAGCTGCATACTTTACTATCATAAAAGAAAATAAATACCAGAAGGGAAATTGCTGGACGGGCATCTAAGAGTATGTTTGGGAAATGTTTATAACTGGTTATATAAATAGATATAAATGTATAAGTGGCTAGTACTTGTGTGTCCTCAAAATGTGTCGACAAAATGTGAGTTGAGTGTTTATAAACATGAGCCAACATAGGCTAAGATTATCTTCATGTTATTTCTTTTAGCTCTTATTATCAAACATGTCTCAGTGTTGCATGATGGGAAGTAGGATCTATAGATAATTTACATTCTATTAGATGATGGCCTTAACGATCATTAGAACAGTACTAGGAGGGCCAAAAGTATTGATGTCTACATGCAGCTGGCTTTGTTTAATAATGATCCACCCTCTCTTTTCTGCCATATTATTTAATTAAGCATCGTGAGATACACTTAGAAATGCCAAGCTGCATAGTTGTCTCGAAGTAAATTATATTCATTATTCATTACTGAGCAGGACACAAATTCATTGTTAGCAGAGGAAATGATTCAGCATCTAAAAAGAGGCATAGGATCTCAAGGACAGGTTATTACTCTTTCACAACCCATTTTTTCCTTTCACTCATTTCTTGTCTTTTTCAAGTATGTATAGCTCCTTTTCTTTTTCTGGGGAATAAATGCAAAAAATTATTATCTTCCGGGGTCTCCAAACTATGTAAAAACTTTTGAACTTATGGTCTGTCTTGCTGTCAGGTTTGAGATTGCCCTGATAATCCAGTATGCATGCAGAAACCATTACCTGTGTAATTGTGCTAATTGCTATAATTATCCAGTGCAGGTGGTTCATATTGAAGAGATCAGTGCACGGATTGCTAAGTATGTTGAGATCCCATGTATGCTTTCGGAGAACATAAAGGTTGCACTCAAACGTGTGGGGATTACTAGATTGTATAGCCACCAGGTGACTTTATTTTATCCTGAATCACACTTTGAATTGAACATGTATGTCTAACAATCAGAACCCACAGGCTGAGTCCATTGAAGCTTCCCTTGCTGGGAAGAATGTAGTCGTGGCTACCATGACTTCTAGTGGGAAGTCTCTTTGCTACAACGTGCCTGTTCTGGAAGTATTATCCCACAATCAGTTAGCTTCTGCTCTGTACCTCTTTCCTACAAAGGTCTGATTCATACTTTTCTGGTTCATGGAGGTCATATTTGGATTTACTAAATTTTTCCATGACAGCTATCGAGTTTGATTCCTTCATGGTTTATAGTTTTAGAGAATCTTTAATTGATTTACCTCGCATGCAGGCATTAGCCCAAGATCAACTACGATCTTTGTTGGTTTTGACCCGTGGGCTTGATGATAGCTTAAATATTGGGATCTATGATGGGGATACTTCTCAGGAAGATAGATTATGGCTGCGCGATAATGCCAGATTGGTATTTCAGTAAATTGTCTTAGATAGGATGGTTTTCTAAAATTGCCATCATTTTGTATGTTAATTTTTCATTGGATAATGTGCAGTTGATTACAAATCCCGATATGCTACATGTTTCAATCTTGCCATTCCACAGACAGTTCAGGCGAATTTTATCAAATCTTCGGTAATTTTCATTTTGTTCCTGTTTCACTATCACTTTTTGTGTGACTTCTCGATTGACTCTTAAATTAATGTGGTGAATTACACTCGTGAATGGCTCTACAATTTGATTTCTAGGTTTATTGTTATTTTCAATTTTGGTGATATATATTTCTAAGGGTTTGTGATAGCAGGTATATCATTATTGACGAGGCTCACTCTTATAAGGGAGCATTTGGTTGTCATGCTGCTCTTATTTTTAGAAGGCTCCGCCGACTTTGTTTTCATGGTATGTTTCTCCATTTTAGTTTTAGTGTGTGGCATATTCTTTTCATAAGGATTAATATGGACATTCTCAGTTGACTTCCTATGCAGTTTATGGAAGTGATCCTTCTTTTATATTCAGCACTGCGACATCTGCAAACCCCAGGGAGCATGCTATGGTAATTTATCTCTTCATAAAATCTAGAAACTTTATCTATCAAAAAAAATAAAATCTAGAAACTGAAATTAATTATAACTGCATTTCTGGGCATAGCATGGTTGATGTTATGTAGTGTTTTTGGTCTTAATTAACCACTTAAACTCAGACATTTTAACTATTGGAGTGTCTATTGAGTGAAGGTACTTATACAGATACTTAAAAACCATTGCACTGCCCATTTAATGCGTAGTTTTCTGATATCTATATTTAGTAATGTGATATTACAGACAACCCTCAACTCTGAAATCTTTTATTTATATCACATCATTGGAGGCTATACAGTACATGCCAGTTACATAGAATGGCAACTACAATTACATTTTTTTTTAAACAATGATACAGGAACTTGCAAATGTACCGACAGTTGAGTTAATTGAGAACGATGGTAGCCCTTCCGGTTCAAAGCTTTTCATGCTCTGGAATCCCCCTTTATGCCTGAAAAGTGTGGGTTACTTGCTTATTGGTTCTGATGTTCTTCCATTCAAACACTATTAAACTCGAAAGTCTTTAATTACCTATCTGCTACTTCTCCAAATTATTGTAGGTTTGGAAAAAAACAAAGACTAGCATGCAGTCCAAAAAGTGTTTTGATAAGAATGTAGTTACTGGACGAACAAGGTATACATTGGTTATACGTAGGCTTGTGGAAAAAGTTGCTTATATATTACTGTTCTATCTTTAATGTTCTTGTATTTACATCTACGGGAAGTAATTATAGAGTCTGTTACCAGTCATTTCTTTATTTTTCCTCCCTATATCATCCCTAGCAATGGGGCTGGAAGGGCTTCTATGTTTGTTTCCTTTCAAAATTTTATTGTTTGGATCAGTTGCACTGATACCCTGGAGATTATAGACACTAGTCCTTTTTTTTTTTCCACCAAATTAATAATACAATTTAGCTTCACCCTTAATTGAAAAAATAATCAGGTTCAGACAAACCAGCTTCTGGTTTAAGTTTTTTAAGCCTGTTCTCTCCTGGCATCAAGGATTCTTCTCACTTATCAAGAGCTTTCATATTTTTAATCTGGAGTTCTTGTTTTTCAACAGAATGTAATCGATCAGCAAAAAATCAATACGCCAATTTACTGAGAACTAAACGATTGTTGAGTGGGGAAAATACAAATATAAATCTGTCAATATAAGATATACAGCCTATTACATATAAAAAAGGGCACAAAAATTAGGCAATTGCGGACATCATGAGAAATGAATTGTGGTAGCAAATTCAGTGGAATCTGCATCCTCAGTCTTAACTCAAAAAGCTCAAATTCCAAGTGAAAAGGGAGGATGATGCATTTGATTAATCAGTGGATTTTCTTTGTCCCTGTCGAAGGGAAAGGAAGGCCAATCAGTTTCAGATTATTGCACCAATCTGGTTCATGTCTTAGCAGGATGGGTGCATCATAAGATGAATTTGGTGTTATCCCTGGCAAGGAAGGTTGGTAGTATCTCTTAGTCTCAGGATATGGTATTGAGGATCGTTATGGTTACAGGAGCAAAATACATGATAAATGTCAAACTGAAATAGAAAGATAATGAGTGCAGTAAAGTATTGTGGAGAAGTTTTTCAAAAAAGGAAGTGATGATAAGTTCAGTCGCGTGATAACTTTCATTGTAAAATGAAACTCATGATTTAGAGAGGATCATATACGAACATGCCATAAGAAAAAGTGAGAAAGGATTGTTACTATGTATAAACTGAGCTTAGGTAATGTTTTTTTAATTTAAAATAGAAAAATTAAAGAAACATGGAGAAGCTACTTTTGGAAGTGTTAAGCTGTAAATCCGTTGCAGGCACAATGGAAACCTTAATGATTCAAACTGGAGGTTGCTGATAGTTGTTCACAGATGAAGTCCCTGTGATTAAATCAAGCATTCAAATCAGATAATAGTAATTGAGACATGACAGCTGAATACAAGAGTGCCTTGAAAGAACACATCACTGCAGTTTTGGATTAGTGAATCATTAATTATATTTTTTCATTTAGCTATTACAATAATGAATAAGGGTTTTTTAGTCCTAAATGATATTTCTGGAGTGCGGTTTTCTGACCTTCATTACTGCATTTGTTTCATTTTGTTAGCTGCACTGTCCATTTATATAATCAAATTTGTTTATTCACCACTTGGAAGAAAGAATCAATGTCCTCCATAATGCTAATTCTATTTTTGCAGTCCTATTCTAGAGGTTTCGTACCTCTTCGCAGAAATGATTCAGCATGGCCTTCGTTGTATTGCATTTTGCAAAACCCGAAAACTTTCTGAACTTGTTCTAAGCTACACGTATGTTATCATTTCCCATCTTATAATTTATTTCAAATGTTGATCTTTGGATGAGCACTTAAATTTACTTTTATCTATGCCGTTGTGATAAGGCGTGAAATTCTTCAAGATGCTGCACCCCATCTAGTCAATTCAATATATGCTTACCGTTCGGGCTATATCGCTGAGGTCAGTTTTATGTTACCTTGTCTTTTGTAATTACTCTAAAAGTCTATGTCAATGTGTCGTTCTTATGTCATGGGTAAGACTTAAATTTGTTCATTGATTAATATATCGCTTTCGTTTCTTAAACATTTTACACGTGTTTACTTTTCTGTTCTGTCTTTATTCACTTTGTTTTGTTATGTATTGTACCCACATTTCATCTATACCAATATTAGATGTCTTCTTGTCCACCATTATTTCGTGACAGAGCATATTATGCTTTTTGCCATCTTAAAATATTTTGCACTTCAACATTATAGGGTACCACCAGTCTTGATAGTTCCTCAATTTCCAAATTTTTGTAGTTCTATAGTCATTACCCCAATGTGCTTGCATCATTAAGATGTGTACAAACAAATAATTTTACCACCAAAGAAACAATCTGAAACTTGTGAAATGTCATTGAATCACTACTTGTATCCCACCACCCTAGTCTGTTTTTCTTGGGTAACTTAAATACCAACCAACGTTCCATCCCTTTGATTTTCCATTTCTATTCTTCCTTCTCCTCTCTCTCTCTCTTCTAGTTTTTCATGTTCAGTGCAGGCATACACAGTTGTTGACACTATTATTTTTTTATTGGGGACAGAATAGGAGAAGAATTGAGACTGACTTATTCAATGGCAGTATATCTGGCATTGCTGCCACAAATGCCCTTGAGTTGGGCATTGACGTTGGAAACATTGATGTTACTCTGCATCTTGGATTTCCTGGTAGCATAGCCAGGTATAGTCTATGTTCCATTTTTGTTTTTATCAGTTCTGTATCATTTTGCTGTCTTGTTTTAATTGTTGTTAGTTCTCATCTGCATTTAGTCTTTGGCAACAAGCTGGAAGGTCAGGCAGAAGGGAAAAGCCATCACTTTCTATATATGTTGCATTTGAAGGGCCTTTAGATCAATACTTCATGAAGTTTCCTCAGAAACTCTTCAGGGGCCCCATTGAGTGTTGCCATATTGATACGAAGAATGAACAGGTTTCTTTGATTTTTATTTTTTGTTTATTTATATATTCATCATTCATTTTAAATCAATTGGATTATTGTTATAGAAACTAGAAAGGAAGTTTAGTAGGATTTTGTTTCAGGCGTTATTGGGAGGGACGGGGGATTCTGAGGGGGTACGAAGTTGGCCAGGCCTTTCATATTTGGCTAGAAAGGAAGTTTAGTAGGATTTTGTTTCAGGCGTTATCGGTAGGGATGGGGGATTCTGAGGGGGTACGAAGTTGGCCAGGCCTTTCATATTTGGCTTTAAGTCGGTATAAGTCGAAGTTCCATTTAGTAGGGATTGGTCTCATCTTTGGTGTATCTTTTCTTTTCAGGTGCTTGAACAGCATTTGGTATGTGCTTCTCTAGAGCATCCACTGAGTCTGCTTCACGACAAAAAGTATTTTGGTCCAGGATTAGAAAGTGCAATACTGACACTTAAAACTAAGGGATACCTGAGTACTGATCTGTCACGTGATTTCAATGCTAGAATATGGAGTTACATCGGGCACGAGGTAATTTATTTGTGAGTATAGCCTGGACTAGTGTCATGATTCTTCTAGTCAATTAGACTATAAATCATGAATTCTAGTGAATAGGTTATTTGGAAGTCTCTTGGCCTTTCTGTACTTCCTGCAGTTCTCTTTCTCCATGACTGTGTCCCCGTAATTTCTTAATAATGAAGTTCCTGTATTTATTTTGTCAGAATAAATAAATATATCTTGTATTGGGTTGTTGTATGTATTATATTTGATATTCTTCCCAGAAATGTCCATCAAGTGCTGTTAGTATAAGGGCCATAGAAAATGTCCGTTATAAAGTGATCGACAAGATAAAGGATGAAGTCCTTGAAGAAATTGAGGAAAGCAAGGCTTTCTTTCAGGTAATTATGTTGCTGTTTTATATCTTTTATTTTTTGAGTGGGCGACGAAGGGGAGGTACCAATCCTTGAACCCTTGACCTTGGTTGTGGAAACACCAATCCTTTACCAACCAGGTCAAGGTGAATTGGTGGGATAAGGTTGCTCTGAAAGTAACAAGAAATCAACTAATTAATTGGAGTCAGTGCTGCATCCATAGATATTAGCATTGTCCACGACTTTACTGCTTTGCCTTTAATTTGACCTTGGATTATTATTATAGTCAGACTTTAGCATTGTTGCTTTCAATATTAAGTTTATCTTTCAGTTTGTTTTTGTTCTTCACTTTTTATGCTTATCGAAAGTAAATATTATCTTTCCGTTGTTTGTTGATGGTTATGTCTATGAAAAGCCATTTAATTTGTTCAGGCAGTTGTCTGTGGTATATGATGGTTCAACTGATCCTGCAGGTTTATGAAGGTGCCGTGTACATGAATCAAGGGAAAACCTATCTTGTAAAGCATTTGGATTTATCGAGCAAAATTGCTTGGTGTCATGAAGCTGACCTGAAGTACTACACAAAAACTCGTGATTACACGGATATTCATGTTATTGGCGGCCATATAGTATGTCATGACCTAAACTTCATTTATTTTTTGGCACTCTACACATTTGTTGCACTTCTGAGTCAAAGCATTTCTGGATTTTAATTGTGAAATATGTGTCATAAAATGGATATGACATATCTTATATCTTAATTTAATTTTAATAGTGTTTGTTTATCAAGTTTCTCCTAGCCTCAAACAAGTATGGGACTCTTCATGGGCTATCATTACTGTAGTGAGATCTCAACTTCAATTAAAACTTCTTGATGACAACGCCTTGCTTGTATACTGGTCTTCATATGCTCCAGCGGAGAAAGATTTTGCCTTTCCCTTGATAAGTATGGAATAAGAGACTTCGTTAAGTATAAAGATTTGAGCTGATGAAAAATGATCACACCGTTTCACATGACAAGATTTGTATATTATGAAGGCATTGAGGCAGACACCCATAAAATGTAGTATATGATCTGGAATATTTAGTTTAGGTATGCAACTACAAGTATTTCTGAAGGCATAAGTGTGATACCAGTAAGATAAGACAGGGATGTGCAATCAGCCAATTTGCAATGATTTAGTTATGGTGCGGCAGCGGAAGTCAAATATTGTAAAAACAGAAAAAGCTAAAAATCTCAAGAATATTATCTAAAATAACTTAAATATAATGAAGATGAGTTGTGTTTACAAACAAGTCTAGCCCTCTTTTTATATAGGTACGAGAAGAAGAGATAATATTCTAATTCGAGTAGAACAAGTAAAAGAAATTAATCTCCTAAAAAGAAAAGAAAACAACTAACCTATTTATAATAGAAGTAGGAATCCTATCAACTAAATAATCAAACTAAGCCCTTGGTTGAACCCCATTTTTCAAAAATTCATTTTTCTCCTTACTTATTTTCAACCACATATTCTCTGGTTATATTCACAAATGGCTATCCAACTTTATATTTAATGTTACTATAGCCACCTAATTTGATTTTGTTTTAACATATCACCCAACTTTATACTTAATGTCATTATGACCACTCAATTTGTTTTTATTTCACCATGGCCACCCAAATTCATGTAACGTTTCACCATTGCTATCTAATTTCATATAACATTTCACCATAGCTACCCAATTTCTTTTCACCATTTTCACTAATTTTAAAAAGGGTAAAGCCGTAACTTTGTATTATATAAAGTTTTTTTAAATTTAAAACGTTTATTTTAAAATAAGTTTTTATTTTATTTTAAAATCATTTTTAATATTTTTTAATTATTTTTAAGGAAATGTTTTTTTTGGGAAAAATAACTTTTTTTTTTCTGAATATTTTTTTTAAATAAGTTTTTATTTTTCTAAGTAACTTTTTTTAAAATAAGTTTTTATTTTATTTTTTAAAATAAGTTTTTATTTTAAATTTATTTTATATATAATGCAAAGTTACCGTTTTGCCCATTTTAAAATTAGTAAAAGTGGTGAAAAGAAGTTAGATGGCCATGGTGAAACGAAATTGGATGGTCATGATGAAATAAAATAAAATTGGATGGCATGGTGATACTAAGTAAAAAGTTGGATGACCGTGATGAAAAAAATCAAAATGGATGGTCATAGTGACACCAGTATAAAGTTGGGTAGCCATTGGTGGATTTAACCATTTTACCCCATATTCTCCAATAAAATAATTTTACACTTAAACCCAAAACTTTTTCATAAATTTAACCACACATTATCCAAAAAAATCACTATTGCAAAATCTATTTTTCCTAAAAAAATGGGGCTCAAACAAGGGCTAATTGAATACTAGGAATCCTAATTACCAATAATAATTAAATCCTAATAGAATTGTCCTGTATTAATCCTAGTTCTCGAGTTTGGTTGAAGATGAGAAAATTAATTAATTAGGAGAAAAATATTCCAAAATTTCTGCCATCAATTTGTGAGGATTCGAACCTAGCTGGGGCTCGAGGAAAATCTCTAGCCTCCTGTTGTCTGTTCTGAGCTCATTGAAGCGATCAACATTCACAGTCAATGTCTACAAATTCTTGTCAACTGCATCTTCAAACCGATCTACCCTTTGATCCAGATTCTAGACTGAGGTTGATAATTCACAATCTCTTAACATTGTCAAGGATGCATGCCACTACAACCATAGGTGGTCATCAGCAAATAGTAAAACTTGCTTTGATTCCACTTATTAACTGGTATTTTCTACAGAGCACTTCATCATCAGAACGATGAGTTACTACCCTCGTATCTTCTACATCATGGTGGACTACAATAGGATAGATTTTGTGCTTGAAATGTATATCATACACTCAAAATGGAAAATATTTTCTGTATAAATAAATACTTGGTTAAATTCATACAGGAACTGGTTTTAGTTTTTGAGACTGTATTCTTTCCTTAATGGTTTGGTATGCCTCTGCTCTGGCAAAGAAGATTTTGACCTGCTTTGTCTCGCCTTCAATTATTTCCTCAGATTTACAATTTCATTTTCAATTTTTGTTAGAAGGCCATATGCCAGTTCTGCATTTCACATGTGCAAGTCCACCAATGTTGATCATATCTACGTCGGAAGAATATTAACCTGTTGCATGCCCTATGATTGTTTAGGCCTATCCAGTGAGGATTACCAATGACCGATTTCCAAGAACAACAGCCCAAGTGCACAATTGCAAGGTAACAACTACTTGGTTTGGTTTCCGTCGCATATGGAGAAGAAGCAACCAAGTTTTTGATACTGTGGAGCTGTCACTTCCTGATTATTCCTATGAATCGCAGGTGAATGATGCTGTAGATTGTCATTGTTTTTGAATTTTCCTTTTGCGCTGGTTTGATATTGTTTCATGGTAATAACTCGGTCTTCATTTTTATAATTCCTCTTTAACATTATATGCCAGTAGGCAGTTTGGATTCGTGTTCCACAATCTGTGAAAACAACTGTGGAGACTTTAAGTTATTCATTTCGTGGAGGTTTACATGCTGCCGGGCATGCTCTTCTTAATATAATTCCTCTGTGAGTTCTCTTCCTCTTTTGTACCTGAATTTGATAGGTCAAAACTTTTTGCTATTATCAGTTCCTTGATCTTAAATTTTTGTGTTTGACATCCTCATGTGCCTAAGATAGTGAACAGTGTTTTCTTGCTCTTTGTACTATTGTATTTTTTATAGGTCAAGACTATTTTCTCTTTTCTAGTGTCTTGATCTAACTGGTTGTGTGTTTGACTTGCTCTTGATAAAATGGCAGATATATTATATGCAACCCATCTGACTTAGCTTCTGAGTGTATAAATCCTCACGATGCTCGTTATATCCCAGAGAGAATTCTGCTTTACGATCCTCATCCTGGAGGTGCAGGCATTTCAGCAAAGGTACATATGATGGAAACTTCCCCATTTTCTGATGTAATCCTTACCCCGCTTTCCCAATTATCCTCCTGAAACAGGGGGCTTGACCAGGGGTTGCCAAAAATAAATCCTTTAGTTTTGTCCCTTTTCCGTAACAGTCAATTATCCATCTAATTGTAAGCCTTTGTTTATTTTTGTTATCATTTTTTTCAGTTTTCCAGTGCCATAATAGTTAGATCATAGATGGTGCTTGTTTCTCATAATTCAGGAAGGGGCAAATCGAAGACTGAGAACCTGAACTCCTTAATGCTGGCTGTCCATTTTGTTATAAAGATTCTCATTGTCTGAAAGTAGACATAAACCAGAAGTATCGACCATAAAACAATAGAACAAACAGACCCGGAGAAGTTGTTTTACTCTTAACATCACTCACAAAACAAATGAAGAAATACACCATAGAAGCAATTCCAACAAACAAACAAAGACTCAACCTCTAACCACAAATCCATTCTCTCTAGTTGACCTAACCCTTTGTTGAGCTAACTATAGCCGTGTGTGATTATTCACATAATAGTGTGAATCTGTAATTAGTACAAATTCTTTCATTTTTCTTTGGATGGGGGTAAATTATGGTAAGTCTTTGTGGGAAGAATTTATGGCAGGTAGTTTTAACTTTCGTATCCCTATTTCTCTTTGTAATTTCTAAGGCTTGAAGAGTTATACAAATCTTCAATTACTTTTCATCTTTATGTTTTGATTATTTTTCTCTAGAATTTCTAACATAAATCTTTAAGAGAATCTTAGATACAGCACTGAAAATGACAAAAAAGAGATTTGAGCAGCAAAACCCCTCTAGATCCAAATATTTGCTTGAGAGCGTGCTGGTGGCTAAACAAACTGTTGTTTCAATTTATTTAGGTTCAACCTATTTTCACTGAGCTTTTAACTGCTGCTTTGGAACTGCTTACTTCATGCCATTGCTCTGGAGATGCTGGTTGCCCTAATTGTGTACAAGTCAGTACTAATTCCGATGAAATACCTTTTACTCCTTAGATCAGCAAGACTAAGCCTGTCGGTTTTACTCTGTTTCAGAATTTTGCTTGTCATGAGTATAATGAAGTCCTGCACAAGGATGCGGCTATAATGATAATCAAGGTTTGACCTAAAAACCCATTGTTCAAAGTTACGGTACAGTAGCTGTTACACTAGCTGGTTCTGAACTAATAGTTTTGCAGGGTGTTTTAGATGCTGAGCAATCCAACTTCAAGGGGACTGCTGAAGCATCTTGAGTGTAAGTTTCACGAACTTCTCATTATGTAAGATGTGGAGATGCTGCTTTTACCCATATTAGTATGGTGATTTATCTTTGTACCCTCCTTTGAGTTGTTTCCAACTGCTCACGTCCAAGCCCGCCTCTTTAGATAGAAACTAAACGATAAAGTTCATCAGAATGATAATGCTTAATATCCAAAAATCAAAGTTTTTACATATCTTTCAATTTGTTGTGGTGCTTAGCCAGTTGAATTTGAAGTAGACTGGTTTCTAGTTTGTAAAATTGTTCAGCAGTTTGAAAACTTGTTCTGAAGATACCCTTTTTTTTTTAAATTTGAAACCCATGTATTATTTATGGTGGCAGGTATTTATTATTTGTGTTCCATAGTCGATACAAGAATTACATTTAATTGTAGTATTTATTTAACAAAGGATGAGGATTACAGTATGTTATGTGTTTCTGTTCTGATGTTTATCGTTTGGCCAAAGATTTGATTTTGGGACTGGGAATTCTTACATATTACCATGGAAAAAATTTAATTGGCGACTTTGGTTTTGAACTTGATTTAGGCGGTACGCATGTCAATAAGTGTGAGTTTCTTTCTTCGTTTTGGGATTCTTTGTGGTTCATGATATAATTTGGATTTTACTTTGGTGAATTTTGATATTTGCTTACATTTATGATGGTGAGCTTCTTTCCTTGCTCAATCAGATACTCAC